CCCTCGTTTATCGTGGGGGATCCGTACCCTGAAGACCTACGATAAGTGAAAAACCGCCAAGTAGGAATAGTAGTACAAGTAGCTAGTTATAGTTTATTTTATATATACATATATGTACATATGCGTTTTAAATCCTTCCCACACTCTTGCAATATTCTAAACCATGTTTCTGAACTCTCTAAAAAAGCACAGAATGTCATGATTTCTGCTCACTGCCTCCTGCTGCACTCTCGGCCACGCCCACTTCTTCGTTCTGCAGGAGATCAGCTGATCTCCTGCAGAGCAAAATCAGCTGATCAGCTGCAGGAGGAAGCTTCTCCCACAGCTGTGGGCTGCACACAGGTGCTAAATGATTTAAAATAGTTTATTTTAATAAAAAATCCATGTTGATAATGCAGCTCACCCATCAGTCAGCCAGTTGTGTGTCATGTCCAATCTTATTTTGAAACACCGCAATAAAGCGAGTACTCGAAAAACGGACCACAAAGTCGGAAGCGACTACTCTATATGGTTTTCCAATGAGCTTTACCAGACTGTCCTTGCCTTACGTTTCAGCCTGGTTTCAGCTTCTTCCCCAGCTTTCAGCAGAAATCGCTCAGCGGTTAGCATCCCACACTGTCTCCAGTTATCGTCCGTGTTTCAGTCAGATTTGAACATGCGTTGTGTGCGTTAAAACTGAGATGCAAACAAGGTAAAGAAAGCGCACGCCTGAATTAAAACTTTATTTCACGCTTCTAATAAAGCTGATAAACTAAAAGCTGAAACGCATACAGGCATTTTCAGGTGAACGTTTCATCGATTTACAATTAGAGCGCTGACTAGAAGGTGCACAGCTTCACAAGTCTGATTTATTTTCTTTTGTCTGCACAGTGCTTTTTGACTTTTCATATTTTTCCTGTACCGTAGATAATAAAATCGTCTATTTGCCTTCATACGAAGAGAATCTGGTAGATTAATGAGTTAAAGTCTCTCAGCCAGTTGAATCAGGTTTGATGCTTTTAATAATGACCTATTTAGGGTGTATGAAGAATGTGCACACGGTCAAGCTCATTAGAAAGACCAAGGTTCAGAGTAAAACTGTACGCAAGAACGACAAGATTATTTAGAAAAAGGACTAGTCTCTGTCATTTGCAGCTTTTTGAAAAGCCTAATTATAATCGTCCTGCTCAGTTTCATGCTGTGATGGCTTTTTGCAGCATCACATGTCAAACTTCATCAGTAATTAAGGTCTATTAGAGAATTAGGGTGGAATAACATGTGATTAAAGCTTTTATTTTTGCTCCCCCCATTGTGCTTTAATGAGCAGCACACAATCAGTTCGTACCCACTGGTCTGAAAGAATCCATCAGATTTTAAGCAGCAGTGGTCAGAACAGATGCAGCGGTGTCCATTCTCTTCAGAAGATGATTTTAAATTTGAAATGTCTGGCATGAAAGCCTCCAGGCGATGTAGTGAGTTCTATAACTTTAATTGTTTTTAGGTTTAGGTTGTTGTAGGTCAAGGCATTCCTGATGCATCCTTGCAGCTCTATGCTGACGATACAATTGTTTATTGTCAAGCTAACACAGCTGTGAAGGTTTTCCAGCTTCTACATAATTCAGTCAGACTTATTCCATCTCAAACTGGTGCTAAATAATGATAAAACCAAAGGGAGGTTGTTTTCAAACAGAAAGTAGGTGCCAGCAGTTCTTCCTCCTATCTCATCCATGCATGGTGTTAATATTGAGTTGGTAGATTCTTACAAATACTTTGGAGTTTTGGTTGATGCACCATCTATCTTTAAAACCACATATTGAAAACTTGATAAAGAAACTGAAATTATAATTGGGTTTCTTTTTCAGAAATAGATTTTAATTAACTCTGAATACCAGAAAACACCTTGTAGCTGCTACTTTCCAACCAGCCATTGACTTTGGTGACATTATTTACATGAATGCCCCTGCCAGCTGCTGGCAGATGTTGGATGCTGTCTACCACGGTGTGCTAAGATTCATAACTGGTTGTAACTACCGTACCATCACTGCACCCTGTACTCACTGGTCAGTTGGTCATTATCTACATGTAGGCTCTCTCACTGGCTCATTTTCATCTATAAATCACTCCTTGTTCTGCTACCTTCTTATAGCTCCTCCCATTTGTCACGCCATCAGTGCAGTTACAGCATGCGCTCTCAAGACATCATTACCTGCAGCGTCCTCTCAGTGCGGACTGAACTTGGCAAAAAGGCCTTTTCTTTCTCTGCTCCTACAACCTGGAACACCTTGCAACAAGAACTGAAGCTGTCCACCTTAATTTCTTTAAGGGGTTTTAAACATTTGAGGAGGTCAATAAAACCATCAAAGCAAATATGTTCTTGTTTTCAGCGTTTTACCTTGTTTTACATGGCACCTTGATTTGTTGTTTTATAACACTACTTTTATTTTAATTGTATTTTTACTGTAGTTTATTGGTGTCTGCACTTTATATGTCTGTCTAAATCAGGTCTCTTGTAAATGAGTCCTCGTGACTCAATGAGACTAACCTGTATAAATAAAGGTCGAGTGTATTGAAGTTGAATAGATCCCTTCAGCGTCCATTTGAGTAAAAAGTGTCTCCTCTTGTGTTTGTCTTCTCTGCAGCTTTGATGCGTCCTCTTGACATCCTGTCCGCCCACGCCTCTCGCAAGAAGGAGGGGTAGTGGTGGGACAGCCCTCCTTTGACTCTGGCCTTGAGCGACTCCGGGGCCGCTGGAAGACGCCCTCCATGGCTCCGGACCGTCTGTAGTTCCAGGCCTCGTCCATTGTCCACAATCCTTAAAACAGCCATGTTTTCATTTCTACATATCAAGAGTTTCAGCAGATGTGGGTGGAGCGTTTTATTTTTTGTTACAGATGTTTGGTTCGACTTGTGCGGACTGTTATGGCTGAACGAGCTCGAGCGGAGTGCCAGCTGTTTCAGCTCCTGGAGAGACCCTAAAGTCACCGGGAGGGACGATGCGTCTTGGTGGGGAGATGATGTGTTCGTGCTGCTACCCTCTGTTTACATACTGTATGTAGATCATCACTGGAGAAGCACAGAAAACTTGTTCTAAACATACCACCTCTTTCCCAGACTTTTTATTCTTTCTTTTATATTTTTTATCTTCTTGACATCGTCACCTTCGAGGTGTAATGACACTGCTGTAATCTAACGTCAAATCCAGAGGATCACATGGTTGCTCTACATCCTCATAAAAAAACAAAACAACTTTTCTGCCATTCCAAATGAACATATTTTTCAAAACTATACTTCCTGTGTCTTAAACCAATATGGTCAACATTACTAGCTGCTGACAGATGTTCTAGTTCTGCAAGATGCAATTATCAGGTGTAATTTTTTCTTTTTCGTATTATTTTCTCTGCTCCTTCGAAGCGCCTATATTAAAGCTGGGGAGGAAGTGAAGCGTTTCTCAATATTGTTGTTTGACTTTATTTTTTACAAGGAAGTAAAGTTCGAGTAAAAAGTAGATTATTTGATTAGTTTTCTATATATATCTATATATATACAAATATAATATGATTATTATTTTTGACTTACTGGTATTAGAACTATTATATGAAAATGCATATGATGAATCGATTAATAAACAGACATCTTTATCTAAAAGTGCATCATTTGCTCCTGTTTGTTGTTTGTTTTAGAAAAATAAGTTTGAGATTTGTGTCTGTGGTGATGTTTATTCGGATAAGTCTCAATTTAAATTATGTAAAACGCGGTTTAGAGTAGTGGAATCCACACGTGGGCCAAAACTGTCAAGTAGTAATTAGAAATTTTGCTTGAATTTATTATTTTTTTTTTATGTTTGTTTTAATATGTGATATTTTAGTGAAAAGGCAAAGATGTTTTTCTTTGAAAAAGTGCTGGACATGGGCACCAGTGACCCCCGTGATCCAAAATGGAAGAAGCGGGTAAAAGATGATGGATGGATGATCAAGTCCAAAGCATGCAAAAAAAAAAACCCATCTTTTAATACACTAGGTATTTGTGTGTGTTTGTGTCATTTAGCTCAAAACTACCATGCAAACATACATTATACCACATTTATGTATATGTTTTTAAGTCTTAATGCCAAATTGTGTATATTTTTTCTAATCCTAACCACTTGTATATGTGACAGCAGTTTAATGTAAAGTGTTACAGATCTACAAAAGGTGCTTTCTTGAGTGGGGGGTTCTGCAGTCCATGCATTAGTCAAATGGTCACATTGTGAAATCGCAAGTGCAAAAATGATCAAAAAGTTAGTTTATTGACATATTTATAGTCATATCAATATGAAAAAGCTTAACCTGAATTTTATCAAATGGTGTCGTTTGAAAGCGTTTACTGCACTAAGATTTCAGATATTTAATCTGCAGCTGAACTTTTTTTTTTTTTTTTTGACTCATACTACTTTTCATTGCGGTGAATACCTTTAAAAATAAGCTGTCAATTAAAAAAAATAACAGGAGTGGGGAAAATGCTAATTAATACACAATGGATCATTTGGTGGTGAAAATCTAATTATTTTTGCACAATTGACGAATATGTATAAGAAACAACTAAAACCTGATATAGTTGAAGCAACTGAAAGTGTTCGTGTTGGACGTAAATAATACAGAGGCTAAGAATGGTCTCAATAAACCACTGAATCCTCCCAATCAGCTTCTCCACAGGAGCTGCAGCTCCAGCTTCCCTGGGTGTTGTTATAATTCAATGCAGTACGTGTGATTGCTGCTTCAGACGGGTTAATGCACAGGTCAAAAACCTGTCTCTGTGGTAGCTTGCAAGAATATAGTGATTATAATAATATTCTGTTAGATGCCACTAGAGTTGTCTGTATTAAAGCTGAAGGCAGCTCAGGTCAGGTGTGATAACACCCTGCAGAAAATTCATCGCACCATCCTATAAAAACTTGTTTCAGGGTGGCCTGCTGTAACCAGCTGAAGCTGATGTGTTTGGATTTAATTACAAAGAGTCATTAGGGCCTGTTTATTAGCCCTAGAAACTCTGTTTAACGGGGGTCTGTGCTGGTATTTGAACTGCACATCCTGGCACAGTATTGTGCTCCTCCAGGATGCTCTGCAGGAACAGAGGGATGCAGCTCAGATGAAGGGGTAAAAAAAAACCCCAACACAATTTAGTGTAAATACAGAGAAATTTACAAAAGTGTAAAGTTTGTGAAGTCATGTTTTATTTCTGGCCTGTTTTGTGAGCTCTGACATCTTTAAGCATAATTTCTTAAGAGATTAATTAAACAACTGGAATGTAAATGTGTGTGAAAATGAGGAAATACGAGCGTGTGTGGGCTGCCGTTAAAGTGGTGCGTGATGTTTTCATCAGCGAGACACCAGCTGCAGGACACACCTCTACCTGCTCAGCCAGGACCACACAGTGTAAGTGTTTATTTTATCGATTTGCAGACATCTGTGCATGCTTTGCTGCTTCATGATATAGTGCTGCAGTTCACGTGTTTGTGTGAGAGAGAGAGAGTGGGTGAAGGCATGCAGCTCCCTGAACTGCTCTGCTGCATTGCAGCACATTCTGCACATCCCGAGGTTGTCGTAGTTCTCTGCTGGGGCACTCTTCCAAGGTCGCTGCAGGTCAATCCTCCCCATCTGCATACCCAGCCGCTGCGAGGGTTATTCTGCAAACACCAAATCTGTCAGCTGGTGAAGCAACAAGACGGCAGCGAGAACCACACAGGGGCGATAACCCGACTGCAGCTGCACGATAGCAGTAATCCAACCTCCGAGAGACACAACATTTACCCAAATGATCAACATGTGTATGGGGTGCCGTTTACACAGTTACACAGTCAAAAATTAACAGCAATATTTTGGTTTATTTAGCCTTTAATAAGGAAAAAAATCTGGTTGATCCACTCTGTGAAGGTGCTATTTAAGAGACTGAGCTGAAAACAGCACCTCAGACTGAGGAAGTCTCTTGGATGAGAGACGAAACGTTTCTAGATTTTTTTTGCTTTGTTTTGTTTTTTTGAATGTCCAGAGGACCAGATTGAACTTTTTTGGATTTTTCTACCTGGATTATTGAGCATGCATCAGGATAAGGAAAAAAATAGTTTTTTTTCTGCAAATTTATATATTCACCATGTTATTTATGCATTTATAAATGTCATAGTTCCAAACGAAATTTTTAATTTACAAGCTAAATATTTAGTTTAAAAACTAAACACTTAACTTGCAAGTTAAGTGTTTAGTTAGCAAGTTAAATATTTAGTTCCACACTAAATATTTTTGTTTCAAACTAAATTTTTTATTTACAAGCTAAATATTTAGTTTATAAACTAAATACTTAATTTGCTAGTTAAATATTTAAGTTAGCAAATTAAATATTTATTTTGGAAATTAAATGTTTCGTTTGAAAAATAAATATTTAGGTTCAAGCTAAATATTTTGTTAGCAAATTATTATTATTTTTTTAATTAAATGTTTAGCTTGGAAAATTAATATTTAGGTTCAAACTAGTTACAAATTAAATATTTAGTTTAGGATTTAAATGTTTAGCTTAGAAATTAAATGGTTTGTTTGGAATTTAAATATTTAGCTTGGATAATAAATATTTAGCTTGGAAATTAAATATTCAATTTACAACTAAATATTGAGTTCACTAACTAAATATGTATCTTGCAAGTTAAATATTTAATTTGTAAATTAAACATTTATCTTGGACAAAAACATTTAGTTTGTAAACTAAATATTTAGTGTGGGTCAAAATATTTAGCTTGCCAACTAGCTATTTAACTTGCAGGTTAAGTATTAAGTTTGTAAACTAAATATTTAGCTTTTAAATTAAATATTTAGTTTGGAACTATGACATTTAGAAATGTATGAATGACATGGTGAAAATATGATTTTGAAAAAAAAGCTTATTTTTTTTTTCTTATGAAAGGCTAAATAAACCAAAAATATTGCTGTTAATTTTTGACTGTGAAACTTTACAAACGGCACCCCGTACATGTGAGCTGCAGGACAAACACTCTGCAACTTAAGTCACAAACCGAAGTCATGATGTTGTTGAAACTTTGTCTGGGGAGATGTTTACAGTCTGTGAGCTGAAATTAATCTGGGTGACTCATGCAAAGACATCATAGCCAAATATAACCTGGTTTTACAGCGATATATTATTGTCTGACATGTTGCTTTTTGTTGTTGCATGTAAAACAATGGAAACAAAAGCAGAAATATGAAAACAGAAGAAAACACTCATTTGTGTTGTGAACAGTTTACAAAACGTGTCAGTTATGGTTTTGTTTTAGGAAGTGTTAGAGGACAAAGCATGGGGATTTCCCTCCTCATAAACCAACAAGAAGAAGAGTTTTCTCCAAAGTGGAACTTTGTTAGTTGATTTCTTTCCGATAGACTTAAAAATACGATTTTAGAGGATTTTTTTTTTTGCAGGATGCAGTGAAAACTGTGTCATTTGAAGTTTTGTGGTGGACGAAGAACAGGAGGTGATTTCGTGAAGCGAGAAGTATTTTTTTAGCAAATCGGAACCGCTCAGTTAAAAAACATAAACGTGTTTATTGCAAAGTGAATGAGTTGTGATTTCTTAATTGTTTTAATCGGTTGAGACTTTGGGCAGCCAGACAGTATATTTGTTCCAGATGTATTCTAATTTTT